TAGCACACAGGCTCTCTACTTGTGGCACACGCACTCAGGTAGTTGTGGTGTGAGGGCTTAGCTGCTCCAGGGGATGTGGGATCTTTCTCCCTGGACCAGGGATCGAATGTGCATCCCCTACGTTGCAAGGTGAATTCTTAACCACTAGACCACCAAGGAAGTCATTCACACTCTCCCTTAATCTATCATGGATGTATATTTTCTGTTTTCCTGATCAAATGTTCTTTCACAAACTGCCCGCAATTTTGTTTTCACTTACTTCATTATTACTTGAACAGCCACAAAATTAGAAAGCTTGGAGTAGGTGCTTGGTGAGAGTTTTAGAGTATAGCCTTAATGGATAGGAACTTCCTAGGTTAAGACTAAATTTGTGTGGGGATTTTTTTGTTTTATTTATAGGTAACTATTAATTTCTGGGAGCAGTCCCCAACCCCACCCCCCGCCTCCACACACACACACTTAAGTTCTTTGGGATTTGTTGAAAAAATATTTGCAGAGAAAGGTATGGCATGCCTTTTTTGTATTGTTAGCTCAGAATGGTCTAGCTCTGGAACATTTATAATTCAAGTAGAGTTTAATATTTGGAAATGATGTCTGTTGGTATTTAATTAGATTAAGTATTTGAGAAGAAAGCATGCAATCAACATGTGTGTTGGAGTTGGTGATGGTGACCTAATAAATTACTAAGAGCAATTTTATCAACTATGGGTTTTATCTTGTTAATCTGTCTTGTTTGTTGCCCTATTAATTTGCGTACACCCCTGTTTTTTTGAGTTGATGTTAGCCTCTTGAGTCAATTCAGTAACTTGGTCAGTTTTTCAACTTTCAATTTGAGGAGCCCAGTGTCAGAAACAGAGCAATTGTTAAATTCTCAGTAGATTTATCGTAACTATTTAATTCTACTTTTATCATACCTAGTAACTTGTGACCAGACTTAAAAATTATATATCCAGAAGAAGGAAGGAAGACATAGAGGCCCAAAGTAAAATACATGCAGCAGAGAGCTAGAACCAGCATCTATAAAGCTGTTCCTTTCCATGTTCATGCCCATGCCTTCACTTCATGAGGGTGGCAAATTGCTAAGGGCACCTTGAACTGAGCTTTTCCTTGCCTTTATAATAAGAAACGTATATCTTTGAATGAAAAAAATTGAACCATGTACAGTAGTAAATTATTATAACTTGTAGCCATATTTCTGAATATACCCCCTTGAAAATCCTACCATTCCTTTTTCTTTAGCTTGTAACCTTTTGTATCCCCACTGATCAATATCAGAATGATCTTATGGTAGCAGATGTAACAGCTACATAATTCTTTGCCAGAGGCAGAGGATTTTGGAAATTAGCTTCCCAAATCTGATTGATAAGGCCTGGTAAGGAGATGTAGTGATTATTATTATGTTGACATCAGCAAGGAGTAGGGTAATGAGATGGAGGTGAGTTCAAAAAGACAGAGAAGTTAACACGTTACAAGTGAATTTTCTCCAGGACTCATTTCAAATTACAAGTGTGCCAATTATTTGTACCAGTTACCAAGTGTTCTTAAGGGTATAGTAATCTTTGCTTGCCTTGTAAATTCACTGCTTTGAGTGCAAACATAAACATAAACCTAATGTAGTCGAGATAACCACTGTTGACCTTGAAGCTTGTTTAACATGGAGTCTGGCAAAAACTTAATATTTAATATATGTTTTCTGAGCTATCATTATGCAAACTAATTCTCTTAGACCAGAGTTTAAGTATACTTCTATTAAAATAAAGCCGTTGATGTTAATGGATGTTGAATTTATTCTGTTTGCTTCTGTTTTGGAAAAAAACTAGCAGATAAATAAGGTAGTTTTGGTAAAATGATGCTTACCAGTGACACATAGATTGCCAGAGAGAACTTGGAAGGGTTTGGACTGATTAAGCCTCAGGGAAATTATGAATAAAAACATACAGTTTACAATGGAGAGGAGAAAAAACATCCCACTGTCTGCAGTGATGAAATGAAGTTGGCTGAAGAGGGCAAAAGACCCAAGAGGTAATACATTAGCAAATGTCAATGTGAATAAACCAATGTATGATACTTCTAACTTAGCCTCACATTTAAGATCCTCTCTGTTTCAACCTCAAATGATCTTTCTACCCTATTGTTCCCCTAAATATATTCTTTGAGTCACTACTGTATTAACGTTTTGTTGAAAATTTCTTGAGCATTTTTTTACCCATGTAACTTGTTTTATGCCATTCACTTTGTTTGGTCTGCCTTCTCTTTCCATCTCTATCTTTAAATATCTTACCTGTCTCTTTGAGTTCTTCATCAAATCTTACTATTTGTCTCATTTAGAAGGAACGTCTAAATTTAGTAAGTGTGTTTGTGTGTGTATGGAAGTATTTATTTGTTTTGTGTATGTGTTATTACTGATTTAGAGCTAAAGTATTCTCTCTTTTATTAGCATGGAAACTTGTGAAATTACTTTCTTTATCCTGTCAGATATGCCTGAGGGAAATCTCTGGACTCACATTTATTAGCTCCAGAGAACTTAAAGTTTTATTTTGTCTCTTTAAATGTGCTCAAACTGTGCCAGGATGTTTACTTGATATCATTATTTTTCTATACTTTGGTAAAGTTCTAAAGGAGGCTTTTTAAAAAATGACTTTTCTAGAAACCTTATTAAAAAGGAACATTGCTTTAAAATACAGTCAACGTGTGGTTTTTTGTAGGTAGTGCTATTCAGGTTTTAGTTTTTTATAATTTCCTTTTAAAAATTGTTAGCATCTAACATTAAATGTAAAATTTTAAACTGAAAATCTATAGGTGTAGATTTACGGTGATTAAAAAACCATTTTTAGGTTTTAAGGGAAAAATGCATGGATAGTTATGCATAGCAATATGCACTTTTATTTTAGTAGAGATTATGCTTTAATATTTGAAAATTGTAAGCCTCTCTAAGCATTATATCATTAACAGTATTCTATGGTTTTAAGTAGCCATTTCTCATGTTCTGAAATTGTCTGTTGATCAAAATACTGATGTCAGCAGAGTTTGTATGTGTTGGTGGTTTAGTCTCACTTGCACTACAGAGACCATGTTCTGGCTGCATATGGTTTGGTGAGATATGAGTGTATTAAAATGATGGCCAAAATTAGAATAATCTGAGTTGTACCTGTTTTCTCCACACAGCGCTCTCCCCCTCCTAATACACAAACACATTCTTTTTCTTCTCTCACCCCCAAGGGGTGGAAGCAACACATAGGAGAGAAAGATGGGGAAAGTTTATAAAAGGAAGTGAAAATGAACTTAGATCTATTTTGTTAGTTCAGGGGAACTCTGATCAGTAAAGACTGTGGAGTGTCCCTTCCCATGCCCTCACCAAGAAGTCCAGTTTGCTAACTATGAAAGTGATGACACCAGTAAACAGATACTAGACATTTTCCTATAATGTCTAGAGTATTTGAAAATAAAAGAGGAATGTAGACCTCAAGGAATAGACCACTTGGAAAAACTGGAGATAGCACTCTGGTAAGTAGAGAATAAAATGATTTGATTATAGAGTGGCCCTAACTGCTGGTTAACACTAAGCAAAAAAAAAGGTATTGAGTTTGGGTGGTGAATATTAAAGGTAATATTGGATTTAGAGTGAAGCAGAAGAATGAAAATATTTCAGGTCAGGAGACTATCCTCAGGAGAAGCAGTGAAAGCAAGAGGGCTAATATTTGCATGAAAGAGTTCCTGAGATGTGCCAGCTCACAGTTGAAGAGGAGCAGTGTTAGGGCATGACTGGGAATGGGTGTAACTGCTCACAGACCTTAAATGCTATATGGAGATTTGACTTGAGTATCATGATTATTAGTAGGCAGTCATAGGAGCCACATACTTGAGGAAGCACGGGCAAGCCAGAGCAGAGCAAGGGGAGTCTTTAAGGAGTCTGTTTCAGTTATCTGCTAAGGAGATATTGAAGACTGAGTCTGCAAGTATTGAATTCGAGGGAAACTTTGAAACAACCTGGAGAACTTGATGAATAGATATATATTGTTCAACATTGTCATAGGCACTTGTAATAGTCCTTAAAGAGCAGTAAGGTGTAGCCCCGACTAGTGTATTGGAATATGTGTTTTTGCTGATAGGTTGGTTATTATTATTTTTTTTTAATCCCAGTATGTTAACCTATATAGAGAACTTGTTAAACCTACATTTCTTTGTAGTTGTGTAACATTTCAAACTAAGAACTAAAGGCAACTATGAAATAAAACACATTTATCAAAGGTTGGGCAAAGGGTGGAAATAGAAACTGAGACAGAGTAGGAAATATTTTTCCTGAAGGGTTGCTATTGATGCTTTGTGTTTTCATTCTTCCCTTTTGCATTCATCCTTTCTTGGACTGATTTTCTTCCTATCTTCTTCTTCTCCTTTAATCTTTCTATCCTTGCTGCCTTCCTTTTCCATTCTCTTTCTTTCATGTATATGTCTCAGACCTGCCTCGGTTTTTTTGGGGGTGGAGTGGGGTGTTTTAGTTTGTTTTGTTTTTTTGAATTTTTATTGGAATATAGTTTATAAGGTTGTGTCAGTTTCAGCTGTACAATGTGTGTGTGTGTATATATATACATAGATCCATTCTTTCCTGCCTGGATTTTTAATTAGCATGTGTGCACATTGCTTAGTTCTGACCCATTCCATAGGAGTTCTCTGACCCATATCATAAGGTAAGGTTAATTAGGACTTTATGAAGCACTTATTATTATAAAATATGCTTAAAATTGCACACATTTAGCTATACATCTTTACATGTTATTTATAAAATAAAAAGAACTGTCACTTGGGTTGAGAAATAAAAAATTACTATTGCCCTGAAGTGAAAGTTGCTCAGTAGTGTCTGACTGTTTGTGACCTCCATGGAATTCTCCAGGCCAGAATACTGGAGTGGTAGCCATTCCCTTCTCCAGGGGATCTTCCCAACCCAAGGATCGAACCCAGGTCTCTATTGCAATGCAGGTGAATTCTTTACCAGCTGAGCCACAAGGGAAGCCTGAGAATACTGAAGTGGGTAGCCTATCCCTTCTCCAGCTCTTCCCAACCCAGAAGCTTCTACTATCACCCTAGGAGCTTCCAAAAGCCCCTGAATTCCTGTTCCCAGTCACATCTTACCTTTTAATTGGTATCATTTGCTGCTGCAGTTATTCTCTTTCTAACCTTTTTATGCCCCACCCCCCAACATACACACTCTCTCTCACAGGCACACGCATACACACACATGCACTTGCTTGAGCACGCAATCTATTCTATTAGAAAATGGTGCCTCTAGACATGACCAAGAGAATACAGAGGCTGAAGCTGTACCTCCTCTTATTAGAAAGGTTTGAGAAAAGTACAGAGACCTTAGCAGTATGCAGATGAGTGTCTTGAAGTCTGATTGAGAGGAGCAGGAAGCACCTTTGAATAAGAAAGGTAATTTTCTTCGAAATTTTACATGAATTCTTTCTTACCATGTCTTTGACTCCCCTCTTCTGTCTATACACACTAGATAGCAAAATACATAAATAACCCAACCCATTTGAAATGCCATGTAACACAGAGATGCTGAACTCCTTTTCAGGAAGAAATTATTTAACCAGCTGTAAAGGTATCTGATACCAGACCTGTTGCCCCCACTCCTCACAATAAATACTACTGTTTAGAACCCTTAATATTACAATAAATACACAGTTTTTCTGGAGGTGGAATAGATAGTACACAAGTCAGAATAAAGTTGCTTAAAGACATAGGGCATATTGTTTTGCTCTATTTTATGATATTTTGAAGTTTTATATAAAAGACTGACTTTTATTTTGGAATTATCTAAGATTCCAGGTAGCCTCCTTTAAGATTAAATAAAAGCAATGTATAGTTGATAAAAAGCTTTGCCAAGAATTTATTAGCCTGTACTTGAGATAAGCCTTAAATTATGTAGAGAGCTATATAGTGATGCCTAAAATACTGTATATCTGATACTATAATTTTCAAAATTCAAATGAGACATTTTTCTTTGTCAAAATTTTAATTTCATTTTTAAGTACATAGTAACATTCATGTGATCAAATGATATAAAAATGTATTCAGTGAAAAGTGTTCCTTCATCCTTGTATAAGTTCTACTGGTCATTAAGACTTTATCATATAAAATGTGAATTTGGGTTAAAAACACATCAAGTGACAGAATAGAGAGCCCAGAAACAGATCAAGATGTTTGATGTGGACATTTGATTTAGAACAATGTGGCTCTGTAGAGCTGTGGTAAGGATGGTCTTTTCTATGTATGATGTAGGGGCTATCGAACATCTGTATAGAAAAAGATGAAAACACTATATAAAAAATAAGGTACAGATGGATTGCAAACCTAAATATGTAGACTAGAAACAGGATCAGTCTCCCTCAAAAACAAAACTATCCACCTGCTCTATCCTCTCTCCCTTAGGAAATTCCAGAAACAGTGAAATCAGTTATTAACACTGAGAATTTTATTAAGCCATAAAATATTATTTGAATAATTAAGAATTAATTCAGCTCATCTTCCTTTTCTCTTTTTATATTACACACTTTCACTTACATAAAAACCCAAGAACCCCTTCCCAGTCTTTTTTTTTTTTATGCTATCCACTGACATCATTTTAATAAAACTGGCATTTCGTTTAAAACAGAATTGCATAAAACAGATTTTACTGTGCTACCATGCAAAAATTCATGTAATTGTTAAAAAGTAAAGATATTTTTTGTCTATGTTCTTTCAGGGCAATTAAAGCATTTCAGGAGGTGCTTTATGTTGATCCCAGCTTTTGTCGAGCCAAGGAAATTCATTTACGGCTTGGGCTTATGTTCAAAGTGAACACAGACTATGAGTCTAGTTTAAAGGTAGGTTGTTGGGTTTTATCAAAGATACAGTGTTTCATTTTTTGTGCTTTTGAGGGGGGTTGTCAAATATTAGAACATTGAGAAATGTTGGAATTTGTATTGGTACTTCAAAAGAAAATTTGAAAATTTAGATGAAAGAACTTTTATCAGCTATGAACTGGAAGATGCATATGTTTGGGTTTCAGAGTACAAAGTAGTTATGATGCTAAGACATAAGCAGGTAATTATATTAGTAAACTTTTTTTTCTTTTTAAAGTTTGAATTGTGGAAAGGGTAAAGGTTTCAACCTCGATTTGAACATCTGAATCACTCCACTGTTAGTGATGGGTCAGAACCAGCTGCTCGGTGATTCTGTATCTGTGGACCCCCCCCCCCCCCCCCCCCCCCCCCCCCCCAATCTTTGACCATTTACTTGTATGGGTCTCACTAGGTGTCACTCTACCTCTACCAACAGAGCATGTCTCATATCTTAAATTATAAAAAAAAGTGTGTTCTTTGGTAGTCATTTCAACTGCTAGTTTGTGAGTATAAACATTGTTGGGCAAAATAGCACATCGTTGCTTAAATGTTTTACTTTCTATAGATTTTAACATTTCTCAAGTTTTTCATTGAGTTTCCTGTGCTATTTATGCCATAACTTTAGGTATTACCGGGCTTTTCATGAAAATAGTGCTTCTCTGCTTGACAAAAGGATTGATTTTTGAAAGGATTAGAAGTTCTAGGAAAAGCTTAATTTTTTGTGAGTTTATGACTGTAATGGTTGCCATGTTCTAAATATCTCCATTGTATGCTATCTTCATTCTGAAGGGTTAGGAGGCAGATAAAGATAATGCTTTACAGTAGGTTGTAATTTGAATTCACTAATAAGGTACTACTGAAATTTTAAAAAATTATTTAGAAATGCCTAATTGCCCTAGAGTTGTAAAGTAGGCACTTTCACAAATACCGTTTCTGTCTTTCATGAGTTTATACAGAACAGTGCTGTTGGTATGAAAGAGAGGTATACACCACAAAACATGAAAGTAAGTAGATTGTGACAGTATTCAGATCACACAGTTGTCAAAGTTGAGTACACTTTGAGGAATAGGCCTTAGGGCAAATGTAAGTAATGTGGAGAAGTTAATCAGTTTTCCTCAAGCTTAGAGCAGCCTATCTCAAACTGTATTTTGGCATGTGAGTGAACTTGAAATGGAAAACTAGTTCAGATATTCTACCTTGCATATTTTGACCTCCTGTTGGACCGTTGCAGTGTATACTAGCAAACCAGATTATTTAAATGACTTATAATACAAAATCAACTTACTCAAGTTTTTTACAGAACTGTCACAGTATGTATACTGTGTGTTGCAGAAGTGGTTTTGGTAGCAGTTTGATAAATGTTGCTTAGAAAATACATTTGAGTGGAAAAAGTAATCAGATATGTCCCAAATTATGGTATGTGGCTGTCTCTGAATATCAGTATAGTGGTAACTTAAACAATTTTATGGATGCAAAGCTCTCTTTGCATGAAGGTGGCAATATTTAAAATCTCCTTTAATCAGGGGAAACTGTTGGGCAGTGTTCCATGACTTATTCAGAGTGTCCTTGCTTACCCATGTTCAACAGAAACCTTCCTGTATACAACTTTTCATTTGTTCAGGTGTATTTAAAGGCTAACAAACTTTCAAGTCATAGCGATTTTTGCAAGATTGCCTTAATAAGTACAGTCTTCTTGTTTGGGGCCTTTCTTCCATTTATTTAAAATACTTGATACCATTCTGATGTTTGTTTCATTTTTATGAACATAGAAAAGAATTTCAGGGGTCCTTGATATTTTTCTTCAATGAAATGAGAAGGTTTCATTTAATTTTTATCTCATCTTGACATTGGCTTTTTAAGGCTTCTCTCTCCATTATTCCTTGTCTATTTGTAAGAGAATTTTAGGCAACATTTGTAGTTAAAGATGTCATATTTCAGTATATTACTATAAGTGCTTAGCATTTAGTGTAAATGGAGGTAGGAATCAGAAGGAATGATATGCCCCATTACCCATAGGTAGCCTCCAAGTTTCCTCCAGTGGACTGTCTAGTACTTGACCTTCATATGGATGGATATGGAGCCTCTGGTCACTTTTCTGCTCCATGAAGTTGTTTCCTACCTAGCACAGTGTGTTGGTATAGATGCTTTAGGTTGCAACCTCAGAAAATGCCCACCTGAAGCTTGTTAAAATGACAACAAAAAATGTATCTCAGTAATGTAAAGTCCAGCCTTTAGGATTGGTTGATACAACTGATCCAGTGTTTGATTAAAGGTTTATTTTCTTCTTTGTTTTATGTTGGCTCCAAGTTGGTTTCCAGGTGTGATCAAAGTGAAATGATTTCTTTTTCATGTTTCATAAAGAAAAGCATTATATAGTAATGGTATAGGTGCTTAGTATAGTGCTGGCATATATAGTAAGTACTCAGTAAATACCTGATTTATCACATTGTAGAGGACAAAGATCCTTACTTCTTCTTGATCATTTCAAGAACACTTTGCATCTCATTGGCCAGAATTAGACCACATAGCCATTCTCAGTGATTCCTTATCAAAGATTTGGTTATTCTGTTCTATTCTTTGGATCAGTTATGTCCTGTTTTTGAGCAGAGCTCAATTTCCTAAGTATGCTTTTCCTATCGAATAGAAGAGTGAGGGGTGGGTAAAAAGAGTGTTTTGATATGGGGGTAGTGCATACAATCTGTCCATTACAGATCCAGTCTTTTCTGCCTCATTTTCTTTCCCTCTCAGGGATAGAGATACAACATATACAGTATGTTTTAGATGGTAAAATATTTAAATAAAATGCAGTTTATTTTCATAATAGATTCCTGCTTTTCACCCACACATGAAATGCATTCCAGGGCCTCCTGTTTTATTTCTATCTCTGGTAATAACTTTTCTCCAAAATGTACTTCTGAAACAGATTCATTCTGTTTTGGTACCATGTGATAGCTCTCAGAGAAAGAAAATTTGGTTTTAAAATTTGACCCTGCCACTAAACTAATTGTGTGACTTTGGGCAAGATGCCTGACTTCTGATCCACTTTCTGTCCATGTGTGTATGCTTAGTTGCTCAGTTGTGTCCGACCCTTGTAACCCCCGTAGACTGTAGCCCGCCGGGCTCCTCTGCCCATGGGATTCTCCAGGCAAGAATACTGGAGTGGGTTGCCATTTACTTCTCCAGGGGATTTTACCGACTGAGCCACGAGGGAAACCCCTTTATGTCTGTAAAACTACCTACTCCACAAGATTGTTACAAAGATTAAACAATATATATATCAATGTCTCTGACAAATAAGTTTTTTCAGCCCTTCTTTTTTAATTCTCAGTTTTACCATATCTAAAACTCTGATTTGGGGCCAGTATTAGATATTGTTTGTATGAAATCCATTATCTTGTCCTAGATTTTAATACTTGTATTTTTGTCATACTGCCCACCCTCAGAAATATGAAGTTAATGCCCAACTTAATTTTCAACTAGTGGTGTTATTTTTCCATTAAATTGGCCAGTAAAGATTTCACATTTTTAGTTGAGTGATGGGGGTACCTATTCTTAGTTTATTAACTAGTTTAGTATTATCTGAACCAGAGTCCATTTCAGGGTGACATTTCTACATGATACTGTGTGGCTTTTCTTTTCTGCTTCATATAATACACCCTCAGGTGGGATTAGTTGCCTATTTACCTCTATATAATTAATTCAGGATTTTATTTCATATTTATTTTATGATATTAAGGATAATTGCTTACATTTGTTATGTATTTGAGGCAGTGTGCTATTGTTGCTTCAGAAAAGCATGCCAGTTTTGACAAGTAGTTTTATATGATGCTTCTAATTTTTACATCTTGGCAGACTATTAAAATTATTTCCTTCATATGGAGCTAATAAATGCAATATAGGATATAACATCACCCATATTCTTTGGTCAGTTAATGCATCTATTTTAATTTAATGAAGATCATATAAAAATTCTCCCTGATATTTAGATATTTAAGTTCCCCTGAAATAATGGCAGCATTCAATTTTCTTTAAAGGCAGATAAAGAAGGTGGCTTTTTTTATGGGAACTTGTGGATAGTTGACTGGGATACCAGTGTTAAGTCCCCTTATAATTTGGTATTTGAAGATGATAAGTGCTGATTGAAGGGAGTAACATGAAGGAATTAAGAAGATGAGAATTACAAGAGATGATTCAAAGGAAATGGGTTGAACTCAAATGAGACTTGTGTGTTACCAGGTGCTTAGTGTTTCTTGAATGGATAGCTTAAATGAAAGAGGTGATAAAATGACAAAATGCCTCTTGTAAGATTGGCTGGAAACATTGGGGAGAAAAGATGAAGCTGATCATATTTGTCATCTTCTACATAAACTGACAGTGCAGTTTTCTCTAGATGCCCCCTGTTCGCCAGTTCATTCTGCTGTCTCCCTTCTATTATTATACCTCACATGAAACTTCTGAGTGAAATAGCATTTTACATTTTTTTTAAAAAAAACTCTTCTCCAGAAACTGCTTCATTTCCTGGTATCTGATTTGATATCATACTTTAGACTCAGGAATTTTATTGTTATATTTTCTTACTCCAAGAAATTAAGGCAGAAAGAATAAGTAAAGGCATGATGATTGTATTTCCTTTTAGAAACCACTTTTGGAATCTGAAATACCTCCTGTCTTTTACTATTTTATTCATATAAATCATTTCCTTCATTTAATTGAGATACTATGAACTATGTATTATAAAAACATTTGCTGAGAATTTGAATACCAACTATTAAATTAATTTTAATCAGGCCTTAAGTTTCTAAGATATATCTGTAGTATTTTTTGTTGAAGCTTTAACTGCATATTTTTATTCATTCAGTTGTCTAAAGATAATAAAAGTTGCTATTATTTCTCTATACCCACTCCTGGCCTGCTTCCTTCAGTTGCTCAATAACTTAACTCTTCTAATTGGCAGTTTGAAAATTTTAGACTTTTAAAATTTT